TTTAAGAAAGTGCGGTGCCGCTAGTTTATTCATAAATTCATGGAAGGTAAATGAAAGAACGAATTTTTCGATATTAAAATAATCGTATTATTTGAGTTTCAGGAAACTTATTCCAACGAACTTTAATCTCAATAGTATTGGAATAGTCGTAATAATATTTCCCTCTTTAAAGTAGTTTTTCTTTCGTCTGCTGAAAATTATAAGGCACGAAAAATATGTTTGAGGAGTTATAAAACCTACAGTAAAGGAAGCTAAATATAAGTTAAAGACTGATTATTACAACAATTAGCAGTATATGTCATAAATAATAATACAAAAGGCTGCAGTAATAGTGGCTGAAAACATTTAGTCAAAAAAATATGACTGAATTTCAAACAAAAAAAATTGATGTTAACATCTTTTTAGCTTATTTTCTGGATAGGACACCAATTTGACGTTTACGAGCCGGATTCAGACTAGTTCTTAACATTTTCTCTTCAGAAGCTGTTAATAAAGTCGCATTTTAAACAATAGTGGTTTTATCCATACAGATTTTTGAAACCCAAAAACTGACATTATTCGTTCGTTGGAATTACTCCTTGTATTCAATAAAATGCATTGATTCAAATAATGTTAAAATGAAATTAAATGAGTATTATAATTGAAACCGAGTTCTCGGCTATTGGGTGTTTTTTTAGCTACATGAGAACTTAAAATGATAATACAAGACAGAAATATCGTGGGAATGAAATTTTTTTTATTATAATCTGGTAGTTAATTTTTTTTTTGTTTTTTTTTAAACATCCTTTATTGGCTATGAATAGTACAATCTTAATTATTTGTTAATTTATTTCTATTGCTAAATTGTACTTAACAGATATTAAGTAATGATTGTTCTGCTGTACTGAACCAATGTTCAGATCCCATTGATCATTTTGACAAATTTTTTTAATATGATTTCCATTACATATATCCTCCGTGGCTACGACTTACATGGTCCATTCGATCAATCCGATTGTTGACTAATTTTTGGAATAGAAATGGCCATATGGCGTCAATGGCGACACAAACATTGGCTTCCAATGCTTCAAAAGTGGCTGGTTTGTCGACATAAACCAATGACAGAATAGCCCTATAAAAAGTAATTGAGAGACATTAATTCGCACGAACGAAGCAATGCACGGCCAATTAACTAGACCACTCCTTAAAATAAAGTTGTCACCAAATTGATTTCGAAATAAATTGATTGTTAAACGCGCTGTATGGCAAGTCGAGCAGTCTTGTGGAAACTGAAACCAAATGTCGTCAAAGTTTAACTGACTTATATTTGGATACAAAAATGCAGTCAGTATGGCTCGCTAGCGTTCGCCGTAACCGCAGCTTCTTTATCATTTTGAACGTTATAAGGACGGATGATGCCCCCAGCGTGTAAACCGCAATAAACAGTCAATTTTTATGAATGTAATGACTCGTTAGCGACTTGAGGATTACCTTTCCTCCATAAATGTCAATTTTGCTTATTGACATAGTTATTTAATCAGAAATGAGCTTCATCACTAAACACTATACACTCTATGAACTTCGCGAACAGATTCATTTTTTTTAACGTTTCATGATAAATAATGAAAGTTTACTAAACAAAAAAGAGAAGCTTGACATTCTCAGCTGTCAAACAATAGGTATCGATATAGATAATTCTCATGTTGCTAAAAAAACATTGTGTCTATTTGCCACATATAGCTTCCCTCTCCCTTCCCCTCTTTCTATCCTTTTGTCTCTCACTCTTTACATCTCACTCTCTGACATTCTCTCATTCTCTGCCTTTCTCTCTCTCTCTCTCTGCCTCTATTTCGCTCTCTGCCTATCTCTCACTTTCTTTCACTCTCTCCAACGAAGAAATAATAGCTGTTGTTGAGAATTAAAATGTACTGGATATGCATTGGTATATACACATAGCCAATAAAGTCTGCGTACACCTTACGAATTTTGATGTGTAATAAAGAAACACAACATAAATATTTTAAATTAAAATTTTTACATTCTTTAAAATCTAAAGTTTAAATAGCAAAATACAAAAATTGTATTCGTTTGTTCATTCTTGAGATAACGGGATAAAAGTGTCCCTACATGTAAATATCAATTCGCAAGGTGTACGCAGTCTTTATTGGCTATGTGTATGTATAATTGTATTATACGCTGATAAAGGTTAAATAAGATCAGTTTCACGAGCTACTCATAATAACTTCGACTAACTATTAATATACAGAAGTGGGTTACACATGCAAATTTTCAGCCTAAAGAGAGCGCCTGAGGGGACGTAAAATTTCTATCAAAATACCATAATGATATACAGTCTACTTAAATCATTTACTTTCTAATAAAATGTACATTCAGTTGTTTTATTTTGTTGCTTTAAATGAGAATTAAATTGGAATATGTATAAAATGTGAAATTACAAAAAAAGCAACAAATAAAAAAAAACGTTTGAACTTTTTGAATTTAAGCTTAAAAATGTTGTCTTGTTTATCCACAGTTGTTTACACCATAAATTACACAAAGCTTTTGTATGAAATTTTATGTTAAGAGCACAAAATAATACTTAATTTGCCTTACGCTCTCGTTTGCTCGAACTTTACTACGAGTTGCTCGTAAAACAGATAATACTATGTTCTTACGAGTGCTGTATATTTTGCAAATATTTATCATATTTATAAAGAGACTCATTTACAGTTTTTTCTCACTCACCTGAAATCGTAGATATTCATGTTTGTGCCTGTCATCATAATTAATCTTTACGTATTAAGCACTGATCACTGATCTGCTAAGCTTGTTTTTTAATACAACATTACTATGAGCAGTGAAAAGAATTTCGGTTTTATATGTTTTCGGCACTTCAATACAAGTGCTGTTAAATGACCTATAAAAAGATTAGTTAGAATATACATATAATTTCAACGATTTATTTATCAAACGATACTTACTTTTTAATTACTTTTATATAAGTATTTATATTTGTGATTTTGGTCTCGAATCATATTTCCCGATATTATTCTCTAAGGACTTAGAAACCTTAGTTTTATTGTTTCAGCTTGGCTAAAACTGAAGACAATCCATTATCTGTTTCTCAAACTTGGCCTATTGTAGCTTATGTATTTGACTTAAATCTTACCAATCTTTTCCGTTTTCGAAACATCTTTAAATGGAAATGAATATTTATGTTCTTTTAGTGGTATATGTGGTATATCTGAATTGTCGTTAATATCTTTGGAATCTTTGCCTAGTTTTTTTAGCGAGACATCCTCTGCAACCTGTACTCTTGAATCTTCAAATCTTTAGTGACAAGCTTGAGTTAGTCAAAAATTTATAGAGGTTTCAAACTGAAATTAAATAACTATTAACCTATGGACAAATATATGATAATCATGATATCATACTGTCTCGATCTAAGCATTTAAAATCCTCGGCAATGCATCCCTTCTTTGACAAACTGCAATCACAAAACTGCAAAATACTATTTTCTCTCTCCGTATTTATTGATTGATTGTAAAAATCACTAGTCTCATCTGTATTAAGTTTGAAATTCCTACTTGCAAATCAGAAAAGGGGTATTGTTTTAGAGTGTAATTAATAGCAAATGGGTTTTCACTGCCGATGTCCCAACTTAAACGAAATATGGTAATTCAAGATCTAGGTGCCAGATCCAAATGTTGGGCGAACGCTGAGATCGGTCCGTAACAGTGTCGATATGGCTATGAACAATACGAAGGAAGAATGTTGCCATTTATTATTTTACACAACATGAACTTGCCATTATTCAACCGGGTGCTCTAACCCATAGAGCAGCGGTAATTTAAATCGTATTTTTGCCTTATTCTCTCGAACTCTACTTTAACCATCGGCATTTCCACATGGAAATGTATGTTTTCATTGCTGATATACCAGGGTGCACTAGTTATCATTCTTAGAATGTTTGCTTGAGCTCTTTGCAGTATTTCTATCGTATATGGTTTATTTTATACTCTCTCCACTTTAATACATTTCTTATTTAATTTATAGTTTGTATGTAAATGACGATACGTTATTACATTGTAGAAAGAACTGCAATTAATTGGTCAAATTTCAAAATTTAAGAGTCGTTTGTTTTGTACAACGTTGGTTATCAAAATATATGCTTCGACGATTAATTAATATTTTTAGCTTTTATTCCAAAAGCAGATAAACTTCTTCATGTATATAAACGATCATTTAGCAGGTTTAAAAATAATAGAATTACGCGTATTATTTATTTTCTATTTATTTGTGAGACAATTTGATTATTCTCTTTATCTATCATACATCAAATAATAGATACTATAAACTACACCGAATATTTATTAAATGTATGATTTTCGTTTAATATGCTTTATTAACCAATTGCGTATTATTAAGTAATTTTAATTATATTCTTAACTGGATTATAATTTCTACATGTTGGACATGATGAAAATTTATGTAATTATGTATGAATGCATTTCATAATTCGTGAATTGAAATCAGTCAATAAAATTCATGAGTCATTTTTTTTTTCTAAATTAAATGAAATTTACATAAATGGCTCGGAAGCTACATAATTTTCACATAACTAAAACTTATCATTATATTAAATCAAATTTAATAATTATACATTTTTTTCATAAATAGCTGAAGATAGTAACGAAGTATGATTAATGTGGCACTTAAAATTTAAAGAGTAACTTGTTCATTAAACAAGTGTCGCATAGTTTCACTTAAAATCATATAAGATAAAACAATATAATTTGTAATTTGTTTATGATAAATGCAATTCCATGTCGGTGTTAACAGTTTACGACTTTCAATAGATTAATATGTAATTTCTTTTGGATTGTTTTTTTTTTGTGTTATAAATTTTCTAAAGCATTTAGTATTTATATATCTGTGAATTTTTGTTTTACTTATACATGTTATGATATTTTATTTTAATATAATAAAACTTGTAATTTAAATTAAATTTAACTCACATATAAGTGTTACAACACCATATTCAGCTGTATTTAAATACATAAAATATATTTTGTTCATTTTTTTCTTTCTTTTAATTATTTCATTAAATTGCGGATAACTCTTTTTTAAAAAACTTTTCGATATATAAATTTAAAAAATCACGTCATTTTCCTATTCTTTTGTTTCTCTATGTTGAAAATAGTATTTTTCATGACTATTTTGGCTCTGGGATTACTACTCCGGTTGATCAATCTCCATTGGTTTACCAGTTGCTTTGGGTTTGCAGGAGCATGTATTCGCATTGTCGGCGCAATCATCTGTTATAGAACAAACTTCAGAGGAAGAAACTTGACGAGTATTGCGAGTACTTTCACTGCCTACAGGTTCAGATTTAGTTTTTGATATTGTAGATACTGATTGCGATTCAACATCTCCATCGTCTTCATCTTCGTCTTCATCACCCAATTCTTCCTGTATTAATTTTCTAGCAAGCCTAACTGCTTCAAACTCATTGTAATGAGCCTTACGACGGCGTTCAAATTCTAAGCGACGCACTAAAAGGAATTAACAAATATGTTAATAATATATAATATTTTGAATCAAAAACTATCTACCTCTTTCACTTTCAGTTTCCGGAAATTCTTCATCTGAGAGATCATCTTGACCAAAGGAAGGAGTTTGAGTATTAGCGGCTGCACGTAATCTAAAGAATATAAAATGGAATCAGTTTAAAATATATTTAAATTTATTTGTTTAATTTAACACACTTACTTTTCTGCTAACAAATCAGCATCAAGTTGTTCATTTAAACCTTCTTCCGGATCAACATAATTGAACGGAGTTTTTGGTTCATCTATTTTCATATGTCCATAGTCCTTATCGACTGGATGATATGTTTGAAGCACGTTTATTTCATCGAACTTGGCACTTTTGCGATAACTAAATGCAAAACAATGATTTTTACATTTATAAAAAAATCGCATTTATGTTTCAAGAATTTCATCAGTTGCCGAGGTGTTAAGATTAATCACTTTAACTTACATTAATAAATAAAATAATAATAAAAAGAAATACAAAATATGGTACAAAAGATGATGATCTACCGATCATCAATTATCCAATAAATAACGAAAGAATGAAAATAAAGCATTGCAAAGAAAATTGCTGTAAATTTTTGTAATTTCTGAGATTGAGAAATAGAACACCAAAGTACATTCAAATGGAAAACTAAATATAACTTTTTTGAATGTATTTATCACATCATTTTTTACACACGGGATATATTCCTTAATAATTCACTGAAAAAAATTTGTGGAAAAGATAGGATTACGCATAGACGTAGCCGAGCCATATTCCTACTCCTTCACTTGAAGGGAGACCAAAGTAATATTTTTAATGAGAAAATATCACAGATCGATGGTGAGTGGATATACATGTGCAGGCATTCATTCTTCACAAAAAAACATCAGAGAAATATTAGAAATCTATATTAAAACTGTGAACTTGATTTAAAGTAGAACAGTTTATCTCATCAAACTGATCAAGCTTTTATAAAACTTAAAAGCCCTTAGTAGTCTACCTCCTTGTGTTACAAACATTTTGACAATCGTAATACCATGTTTCCACTGCTTACTTTGTAAGTTACTTAAGTAACTTTAAGAAAGTTTGAACTTTGAAAGTTCTAGGAGAGCTTCTGTTTGTTTCAGAAGCTAATATATCACCTAAAACATTTATACATATATATATATATATATATATATAAGATATATTGAATCATTTATATGTATATATTATAAAAGTATAACGTATGCAATAAATGAAAACAATAATTTTATTAAATACTCACTTTCTTTGTACGTTTGTTTATAGATGTAGTTTGTTTATATTTTACATATAAAACATATGATAAATATTTCAAATTTCAGTAATTATCATGGGAATTTTTTTAAGGATTGGTTTCGACATTTTTAGTCTAATTTTCTTTACTTTATTTTTAAGTAAATTAAAAAGCATGGAAGCTCATTGTATGATTAATGTAATTTACTTAGTAAGATATACTAACTATAAACACGGTGGAAACATACTATGATATCTGAAAGGTATAAAAATGCAGTGATGTCACTTGTCACTTAATAAACTTATTTTGGAACGATTTGAAACAGAAGTATTTTCTTCTTAAAAGCACATATGTTGACAATATGAAAGTATTCCAAGAACAGCCGGGTCTACAACGCGAAACCAGTCATAAACCACGACAACCAAGGGCCGTTCACTACCAACTAAAGAGAATTTGCAGGCAGATCTCTGCGGGCTATCACAATAACAGCAACAATATTAAACCATTTTATTAGCTATAATTCCATTTCTTCATCACTAGAAAAGATATTTAGTTTGAGTGACACAATATAAATTTCACGTATAATCAATTTTTTTTGTATATAACAGCTTAAAGAGTTTTTCAACTGATTTTTTACATGTGTTTTAATTTTAGTGCATAGAAGATATATTTAAGCCAGTATTAAATCAATTTTGCAATATTTTAATAGAAGACTTTTGATTAAAATTGCAGTAAGTTTAAATATTGCTTAAGTTTACATGACTAATTTGGTGACATAAGTAATTTTATATATAATGTATAAATGTACACAACCGCAAATATTAAATATAAGAAAAACAATTCTAAATATATATAACCTATTAAATTCTTTATAATCTTTTCGGGAATTTCCGTATATTTATATCTAAATTTAAATATTTACTCATTTCTTTACAAAAACAATTAGAAAAAATCGCTTGAAGTTTATCGAAGTATTACTATCGTTTACAAAGATAGCAGTGTACAAATAAATAAAAAATAATAAATAAAAAATTTTTTTAACTATGAACAAAGTATTTATGTAATGTGCACATACTCTTTAAAATAAAGATCATTTCCGGAAGATAGTATATACTATATGAAATAGATAGTTAATTTGATCTCTATATGGATTCTTGTAAAATTTGTTTGAAATTTTTGAAAATAATATAATATACAATGAAATTCGAACTCCTATGTACTCGAACTCCTATGGGAGAATTGTTGAATTTTCAACAATTCTTCCTTGTATTTTTTTCTCCATAAGTCAAACTCCCCTAACTCAAATGTTTCCGTAACTCGAAGTAAAAATTCACATAGCATTTTAGCACTTCCCTTTAAATTTATCTCCACAACTCGAATTTTTTATTTCGCCTTTATATCTTCCAATACTTTTGTCAGTTATTTTTCTAACTTACGCGACATTATTGGATTCTAACTTTCAACGATACTATGATGGCTAACAACAGCTCTTATTATTGTAAATTTCCTTAATACGAAGATGGAGTTGTTCTTATTATCAAGTGAAGGAGTAGACTTTCAATCACAAACATGAGTAAAACAAATTTAAAATGTTTGACAATCCCGGAAAAAATTAATTTAATTTTTGAAGTAGAAAACACCTTATCAACGATTTTAAAAAATAAGGACAACTTAAAAAGAGAGTTCTGTAATAATTAACGTCAACGGAATACAGTATGTAAATAAGATGACGTGAGTGAAGCTTGTACAATGGATAATTACTGCAAGAGCAAAATATCTACCTCTATTGGAGAGTATTATTAGAGAAAAGGTAAAGCAGTTTGCAGACACATTTGCGGCAAATAAAGATGCGATCAAGAAATTTGAACACTTATGCATTTTATAGCAAACGCACCGGATGATATATTCCAATTCAATAAAATTACGTGTGTATAACATATTCATTTAATACTTTGGAAAGAAGAGTGGTAGAGTGGCAAAAAGTAAAAAATGTAACTGAATACGAATTTTCCCTAACTCGAACTTTTTTGCTGTCACCTTGACTATTCAAATTAGAGGAATTTCACTGTACAATAACTAATGACTTGTATCTGTACAAACAGACAGACGGGAATGATAGACGAGTGGCTCTGAGATAAAAACTAGACAGACAAACGACATCATAATATCGACTCATGTTTTAAATCCTCTTTCCTACGTAGCTACTGTGTTTTAATTAGACTTAATAAATCCTTTATACACAAACTTATCAAATTTCGAGCAACAACGCATTCAGTATAATTAAATTAAAAAGTAAGTAAACTATATATAAAAATGACAAAGCAGTTTTTGTAATTTTAGTTGATCTACAGCGGTTTGTTACATTTCCTAAACAAATTTATTGTTCAAGAAACATATTTTAAAAATAATATTATAACTGTTTATAGTTTAAATATAAAATTAAGCGTATTATATAGTTTATAGATTAAGTTCTTGTTTTAACACAAAATAAAGAAATAAGTGCATATTAACATAATTTTAACCATTTCTGGAGTAATGAGATAGCAATTCTTTAGAAATAAAACTGATTCACATTTTTTTAATTAAATATAAACTACATATAATTTACCTGGCATTTGGTTTATCAAAACTACGTGATGTTTTTAATATGCCTTTGCAGGGCTTTTTGGCATCAGGTGAATCCTGATGCATATTTCCGACTTTTTAGATTAACGTACAGATAAGAACAGCCACCAACACGTTTTACTGATTGTTGTTGCTGTAATCTAAAAATAATTGATATAAAATATATGTATACATTTTATTATACTTATAAATGTGTTTACATAAAAGTATGTTTCACACAAACAATTTTACAATTTACAAGCACATCGCATTAAACGTTTCGTAATTTTCTAATTCTGATGATACACCAAGTCAAATAAATAAATAAAAAAAGTATGCATGATATCATAGGGTAATTTAAATAAGCTTACCTTTAAACAATTTGATCAACGGTATTAGCTACGGCGTATGGAAATGTCTGTCATCAAAGGTCACGTTAATTAAATGTGGTGATACGTAAATCGAAACAGATTATTTATTTGCTGCTAAAGTTACCTAATTTGCCGTTTTGATTCCTTTCTCAGAGAATTGTTTGTGGGGTGTATGAAGTCTCGTCTGGCGTATGATGTGTTTTTCAATTTTGATCGTTTATTGAAAATCCTAATGTATTACTTATTGCTTTTTTTATTTAGCACAACCGTATTAATTCTTCTTTTATACTTATTGTATGAAACCAACTCCCATAAAAATTTTGTTTTACGAAATTGCTTTTCGTCCCAATTTTTGTCGTTTTCGTTGCAGCTGTCAGTTTGACTTTAATATATTGTATGCCCCAGAGTGCTGCCCATACGCCGCAATTTAGAATTTTGGTGATGTTACCATATCATACATTTCAAAACCTTATTGTAGCATTTTTGTGGCACGAAATTTATTAGCAAAACGCTTATATATTAAATCATATATTTTTATGACAGTTAATGCAATGATTTTAAAATAATAAACATGCATATAATATTTTTTGTAGCTTTA